AGCTGTGCAGAGCAAGACTCAAGGAAGGCCGGAGCCTTTCTTCCTCTCCCAAAGACATTGCCCGTAGAAAAAAGAAATGTTGTTCTTTTATTTTACAAGTAAAATCAAGAGCATGCTAGTGAACTTTTATATCATTACCCTGAGTTCTGCTTTGATTAAAAAAGAAAAGAAATCCAATAGAAAGCGATGCAGACAATGAAGTGAAAGAAGGGTAGGAGAACAGAATGGGGACAGGGCAGAGCAGAAGCAGTGTGGACTTGATAGGTTTGCTGCTTCCAAAAGCAGTCATTCCAGTCAGATAATAAATGAGGAAACTGTGCAGTTTCTTTCCTGACAGGTGGAACATAAATAGTTGCTGCCATCGTATCAAAAATTATTGGACATTTGGAGCATTCTTGCTAGTGAGACACCAGCATTACAGACAATTTGAATTACTGGCCCCAAGGTGCCCTAGAATTTTGTTTTTCTAATACAAGCGTGTCAGCTGCGGGACAGAAGTGATGTATGCTGTCTATTGTGTAGCTCGCTGGCCAGACACCAAACTCCAAGTGTGCCTCCTTGTACTCTTGGTTCTAGCTTGCCTGTTCTTTGCACAGAGTACTGGCCACCAATATAGATTTCCTCCAAAACAGACCAAAACTAAAAGTACTGCTACATATCCATCAGCCCCAAACCAAACCCAACTCTGATGTGACACCTCTGCAGATCTGTCAGGCAGCTTCGTTTGTATCTGAGACCAGTTAAAACTGGCTGGATCTTAAAGAAATCAATTATTTCTAGCTTCCATCTAGTTACATGTCTGAGGGAAGCCTCGGGAGTTTCAAAGAAGAAAAGGCATCACATTATGAACTTTTAATGATATCTTCAGATACATTAAAAAAAACACTCTAATGAGCTGATCATGAAAAAGGCAGCACTGTAAATCAAAGAATTGGTAAGGTAAATATTCCAGTCATAAGGAGTTTTAAAATGTGCCTCATACATAAAATGAACTCTTTAGAGATTTCCACTGAACCAAAAAGCTCCAGCAAGCATCTGAGACTGAATTGCAGATACCAGTACTAATCTCAAACAGCATATGTGTGGAATGAGGCCTTCATAATGGCAGCTTGCACTCCATTACTGTGGAGTTCTTCCCCATAAAATCACCATGGAGTGCCAGGCCCTTTGGTGACTCACACTTGTAATCCTAACTACTAAGGAGTTTGAGTTCTCGGGACCATAGTTCAAAGCCTGGTCCTTTTCAGCCAGGCCGAAAAGTCCCCATGAGACTCTAATACCCAATAAACCATCAGAAAATGGAGAGTGATGCTGTGGCTCAAACTGATAGAGTACTAGCCTTGAGCAAAAGAGCTCAGGGACAGCGCCGAGACCCTGAGTTCAATCCTTAACACTACCAAAAAAATAAAAATTTAAAAAATAAAAAATGAAATCATGAACGTTTCCATAGGATAAATAGGTCTTTGGAGTTTTCCATTATTTGGAGCAATTTTTCTACAACTCACATCCGGGTAACCCTGATGAAAAAAGACATCAGACAAACGAGAAAAGATGCATCCAAGCTTTGCTGTGGGTCTGTGTGTCTGTGTGTCTGTGTGTCCTTTACCTTGATTGCCATTCACTGGGTCCTACTCAAGAGTCATTCACAGCCTGGGAAGACAGAATGCCACATCACATGCATACATTATGCATACATGCATACATTAATACATCACATGCATACGTGGGACCAAATTTTGAGTAATAAGGTAGCAGAGGTGGCATGAAGGAAGGGAGGAGAAGGAAATGGTAGAATACCTTGCATGCTGCCAGATCAGAACACTTTCAAGAATGGCCTTCAACACAGTAGCAGAAGTGGAAAATTGGCCTGAGTCAATAAAACAGCAATTCTCTACCATTCTCTCCACTGTCAGTGAGCAATGTCCTGTTAGGACTAAAGATCTTTTGTAAGCCTTTCCTTGACTTCCTGATTAATAAGCATTGTATTACAGTGCTTATTCTTTCATGAAAGTAAAGCAGTTGAAATATCCCAGTACTCAAGCTTAATTAATCTACAACCTTCTTCAATTACTTCACTTTTTTCACACTAAAATTGAGCTGTCTTTAACATATATTATCTTACTAACATAAGAAACAGAGACAAACAGAAACATAAAATTCATAATGTCCTATTGAATATGCATACAGACATAGACTGTGTTCCATAATAACTAGCAGAAAACTGTTTCTTTATGAACTATCTGGATTTTATTTATAAATTGTTATTTATTGCACCAAAATTGAAACATAGAAGCACATGCTTAGAAAATGAAAGAGTGGACTGGTAACCCATATTAAGCATTATGAGCAAATTTACAGAACTGAGTTTTTTCCCAATAGTAGTTTATCTGGATTTTTTTTCTAAAAAGTAAATTATATGTGTCATTAGCCCTGGATAAAGAACTAATAATAAAAGAAAAATTGGATGAGTATCACAAGTATAACCAATAATAGTTTTAAAAAAATGAAATGTTTTCTTTTCAGGATCATCCCACTCTGCTAAAATTAGACAAATTAGCAATTTCAAGCCATATTTAATTTATAAAGTAAGTGGAAAATTCACAATATGAAGTTCAGGTACACTAAGAATTGTTTATGAAACCTCAATCTTCTTATTTTACTTGTTCTTATTAGCATTGTCTAAATCAGACGCATTGGTTAACATCATATTGTTTCCAGTCAAGGTAATTTATTAATTGTCCAATCAACTGAACCTCAATCTTTTATAAGCAACTAGGGAGAAAATATAGTTATTTGACTTAATATTCCATCCAGAAGCCCAACTCTCCACATTATATGAATTCACACAATAGAATTTTAAATCCTCATTTTTTGGGGGGTCCGGTCGTGGGTCCTGAACTCTGGGCCTGGGCATTGTCCCTCAGCTCATCAGCTCAAGGCTAGCACTCTACCACTTGAGCCACGGCGCCACTTCCAGCTTTTTTCTTTTTGCTTATGTGATGCTGAGGAATCGAACCCAGGGCCTCATGCATGCAAGGCAAGCGCTCTACCACTGAGCCACCTTCCCAGCCCAATCCTCATATTTTATGTGATACAAGATTCAGAGACATTCCAAACAATAGAAAATATAACATTTTAAAGTGCCTGACTGTTACCAACTTTTTCCTCACAACCAACTTTATATGGAGAAAGCAAGTGCCCAGTTATTTTAATCAATGTAGAAAAAGAATAGTAATAATTTAGGCACCTGTGGATTATTTTCTTGATTTACCTATTTGGATAAAAAGATTCAGTCAACCTCTAATTTTTCTCTCCCATCACACTGTATAGACACTGTATAGACTGAATTCATAGATATAGAAAAAAGCTCTACCTAAATAAGGCGACTTCCAGACTGTGCCAGAATGCTGAACATCTCATTGAAGCAGTAATAATATACTCAGTTACACACAGTCGCCATTACCCTTAGTGATACCAAGCCACATAGTAACTGATTTCATGCAGATCAACATAGTGCCCCAGCCTTACCTCTTCATTCATAATTGGTTAACACCTCAACTTGAACCTCAAATGCCAACTCATTCTGAACTCTTTAATGAGCTCACTCCAACCACAACCTTAATCCGTGAGTTAAAGGCTGTGAGTGAGGTAACATCAGTGGAACCAAGGTTTGATTTCCTTTTTACCCGTGTCAGTTTTCCACTAATTAAAGAAGAAGCCCAGTATGGTGATTCATGCCTACAATCCCAGCACTGGGCTGAAACAGGAGGTCTACAAGTTCATGACCACTGTGGCCTACATAGTAGGACCCTGTAACAAAGAAAAAAGTGGGGGGGGGGGAAGAAACAGAAGAAGAAGAAGAAAATAAAAGAAAGCTGAGCCAATAAGCATTCCAGACAATATGCTGAAGAAATAAAATCCTCCCTTTCAGTGGTGGCTCACACATGTATTCCTTGCTACTCAAGAAACTGAGATTTGGAGGAACTCAGTTCAAAGCCATCCAGGCAGGGGAGGCTGCAAGATTCTTATCTCTATTTAACCAGCAAAAAAGCTGGGTTGAAAATATGGCTCAAGTGATGAAGCACCAGCAGTGAGCAAGAAAGACAAGAGAGGGTACGAGTCCCCGAGTTCAGGTCCTGGTACCAGCCCCCCACACCAGTGAAAGAAAAGGAAAGCAAAGCAAAGAGAAATAATCTTAGTATAAACCACAACAGAATACAGCTGGTACATTACATAAAAAACTGCATCCTTAATTTTAGTAAGATTGTTGATTATAACCATAGTGAAGTTACCTAAGCAACCGCTCCGAATCACTTACAATATCCAAATGCATCCTTGTTATGGTGGCTCAGTGTCTACAAGTTTGTTGCTGACAGCATTATGAATAGATATACAAAGCTAGCAGATCTGTTTGGGAGGATAAAAAAGATCCCCTGAAATACACTGATCGGACTAATTCTAGTAAGAATGTAGATCCCTCCTAGCAAAATATACAAACAATACAAATTTAAAAATAATTAAGGCGAAGGCACAAACCTAGAAATGGGAGTAAAAAAATCATTAAACAATATTCATTCACACCTTCACTTAAGCCAGCGAGCTGCAGAGTAGTCTATTTTTATTTCTAAAATGTGATACACTTATGTAATTATTATAACCTACATGTTTAGGAGGAGAATTAGAAAAGGCTTCTTACAATTGTGACAGATGCTATTCATTCATGTGTAACAAAATAAATACATTGAATAACCAAACGTGTTGCAATAGCTCAGGCCTGATTAACTTAGGTGAAAATTAGTAAGCAATGGGCCCGGCCTCATTTACTTCTTTGGGTTTCTACAGGTATGTGCTACTTGGGAATGTCAGGTGATCTTCAGGCATAGCATGCCATCACTGGTGTGCTGGGAATCCACAGGCTACAACTTGGATAGATATTCTAGGCTAGGAAGAAAAACATTGGAGAAAACCAGGAGTTCCCTGGGAAGGGGTGGGGGTCTTACCTTTCTGTACACCAGCATGTTTGGTGATTCATCTGCCACCCCGTTGCTGGTCTGCCCATAATTATTCCCCTGGGCCATGTCACCCAAAACGCAGTTGGCGCTCAGATACAGGAATTACCAGACTGCCCTGCAGAGGGTTAGAGACTCCAGTGAGATCCCAGTGGAAGAGCCCGGGAGGATGATCCCTGACTTTTTTTTCCCCCTAGTTAGAGCGCTCACTCTACAAGGAAGCGCTAACAAGCTGGGTCTTGGCTGGAGGAAGTGGCACTGGACATATATTTAGAAAAGGGTTTACACCTCCAGTACCTCTGGGAACGCTGTAAGACATTATTCCACTCTTCCAGTTAGACATGGTCACTTGGCTGTTTAGTACTATGTGTGTTGACCATCCTCGTTTGAAAAAGTGTTACTCAACTTAAAAAAAAAAAACAGAAACAAAAACAAAAACAGGGCTACCTGTTCCATTGCGGAGTTCCCCAGACTAGCGTCTCCACTTGCTGTTTTCCCAAAAAGGCAGAAAAGAAGAGCAGCCAGGGGCAGCACCCTGTTTCCAAGTAGCCCTCTCAAGTCCCTCCTGGCCCGCGCATCAGAGAGGCCCAATCCCCACACCTGTCAGTCCCCAGCACCTGTGCTTCCTGTCTAGTCCCCTGGGTCTCCCCTTCACAGCCAGGGCACCCACTGAACCTTTCTCCCCGCCTGCATGGCCAGCCACTGCTCCCCTCCTTTCACCTCCCTGCCCTGGGTCAACCAGGGTGTAATCCTGCCCGTTCTTTGCAGGGAAAGAATACATTGCAGCCATGAGAACTGCTGGGAGAACCATCACCTCCATCGTCACCGACAGAAAGCTAACTGTACGAGCCCCAAAGTCACCAGTCAAAGATGGGGAAGCCGGCGAGCGCCGGATCCCCTCGCTGGGCTCCGGTGGCAGCAGCAAATGGCAGGCAGCGTGTGCCCCGCGCGGCGAGGCGCTGCCGGCGCTCGGCAGCAGTTTCAGCACCGTGGACCGCGGTGTGCGCGCTGCGCCCCAGCCCAACCCAGCCCCGGCGCCCGGCTCCGGGGACGGCCGCCCGCCACCGAGGACGCACCCGCGGCGCTCCGCCCGGGCTGGGCGCGGGCCGGGGGCCAGGAGGACGCGGGGTGGCGCCGCCTCCTCCCCTCCCGCCTCCTCTATTTACCTTCTCGGCCAAGGTCACGGCCCCGCGGCGTCTCCCCTCCCGGGCGGGCTGGGTGCAGGAGCTGTCAGCTGGCAGCGAGCGGAGCAGGGAAGCCAGGCAGCTTCATCACACTCGGCGGATGCGGACGCCGAGCCAACCCTTGCTCCCGCCGCCCAGGCGACCGCTACCCTCGCCGCCGCCCGTGCACAGGCGGCTCCGGCAGCCGCCGCACGCGCGCGCTCCCCCGGGCCGCCTCGCCGGCTCGCTCCCTCCTCCGCGGCTGCTCCTCCCGGGAACTGAGACCAGCCGAGAGCGCGCGGGAGTCGAGACGCCCGGGCTCGTGCGCGCGACTGGGAGGAGGGAGGAGGCGACAGTCACGTGGCACAGGGGCGTCCGAAGGTGATGGCTCGGATGGGCTGGCTCAGCCGCCGCCACACCCCCGGGCCTCGCTGGCCTCCTGGCCTCTCTACCCCTTAGGAGTGGAGGCCCTGCCCCCACCTGGGCGGCCAGCCCAAACTCCCACATACCCTGCCGTCTGTGCTGCAGGACTGGAAATCTGAGCTTCCAGCCCTAAAGTAGGGAAGTGGTTGGTAATGGATTGGTGGGTGGGTGGGTGGATGGGTATGTGGACGGATGGATGGATGGATGGATGGATGGAAGGTGCATGGATGATGGATGGGTGGGGAATGGATGGAGTATGAATGGATGGATGGATGATGGGATAATGAATAGATGGATGGATGGGTCGGTGGAGAATGGATGAAGAAATGGACGGATAGACAGATAAATGGGGAATGGATTGTGTGTGTGTGTGTGTGTGTGTGTGTGTGTGTGTGTGTGTGAATAATGGATGGGCAAGTGGGGAATAGAGGATGGATGGATAATGGATGGGTGGGTGAGTAAGTAGGGAATGGATGGAGGATGGATGGGTAGGTGGGAGCGATGGATGAAGAATGGATGGATAAATGGATGGATAGATAGATAAATGATGGATGGATGAGTGGATGATGAATACAGAGCTAAATGATAGGTGGCTGGGTAGGTATAGAGGATGGATGAATGATGAATGGATGATAGAGGATGAATGGATGGATTGAAGGTGGATGGATGTGTGAGTGGAGGATGGATAAAGGATGGATGAATCATGGATGGAGGGATGATGGATAGTAGGTGGGGGGTAGATGAATAATGCATGGAGAATGGATAGGTGGAGCATGGATAGAGAATGAATGGAAGGATGGAGGATGGTTGGATGGATAATGGATAATGAATGGGTGGATAGATGATGGATGGGTGAGTGGAGAATGAAGAATGGATGGGTGGACAGATAAATGGTGAATGGGTGGATGCGTGAATAATGGATGTGTGGGTAGGGAACAGATGATAGATGGAGGATGAATGGGTGGGTGGGAGTGATGGATGAAGAATTAATGGATAGATGGATACATGAGTGAGTGGATGATGAATGGGTAGAGAGATAAATGATAGATGGGTGGGTGGGTACATAGGATGGGTGGATGGATGATAAATGAATGATAGAGGATGAATGGATGGATGAAGATGGATGGATATGTGAGAAGAGGATGGATAGCAGATGGATGAATCATGGATGGAAGGATGATGAATGGGTTGGGTAGGATGGATATATGGATGGATGGATGCATGGATAAATGATGGATGATGAATAGATGAGCGGATGTTTGGTGGATGGATGGTTAGACATTTGGTGGATGGATGGTTAGAGGGATGAAAGGAAGGAAGGAAGGGAAGTGTCCTCACGGCCACCACCCCTGCAGCTGGCAGTTTCATCATGTGCCTGACAACTCTGACAGTACTGGAGAAGCAGATGATTGATTTTTGCTATGCTTTAATAACAGCGTAGAGAGAAGTTGGAAAATCCTGGCACTGAAGGAAATGGCCAAGGACAAATGAATTATTCCGCACCTTCTCTCTTTTGCCTCCAGCTTTCACAGCTTCTTCCTAAGTTGGAGAAATGAGGAATAGTTTAGAGGCTACAACCTATGGTGAAAATCTTGCCACCTGTGAAATTATAGCATTCCTAACGTCTGATTTCTTTCCACAGAAGGGCATGGGGAAACTTTCCTCTCTTCATCTTACAATATTCATAGAGGGTCTGCAGTTGCTGGTCCACTCAAATAATTCTTCAAGCTGTGACGCTAATTCCATAATGGTTAAAAGGACATGAAAGAGAAATGTCACTTTTCCTTGGCCATAACAAAGAAGCAGGAGTATCCAACTTTTGGGCAAGATTGCGTTAACTCAAATTAACTAGCAAAAAGTTGAAAGTGTGAGTATGGTTCAAGTGGTAGAGCATGCACCTCTTGAGTGGAAAATGTCAAGCAAGAGTAAGAGTCCCTGAGTTCAAGCCAGAGGAGGTGGAAAGAAAAAGAAGTTGTAGATACTTGAACACTCTTGTTGGACCAGAGGATTATAAAGAGGAAGGGATGAAAGGTGGAAGAAAACAGGAAGGGAGGAATGAAGTTAATTAAGCCCACTCCTTCTTAACAAGAGTTAGGGATGAAGAGGCTTTTTTCTTCCAAGGCCAACTTGGGTCTTTATAGCATCTTTCGCTGGCCATGCACAATTATCAATATAGGTAGATGACCAAGAATGGCCAACCTGAAGCATAGAAGCAGAGTGTCTGTCCTGTCATGTACCAAATGATTTTGTGGGCTTTATACAACTTCTCCCATAAAGCATGCATAACTATACATTACCCAGGCCCTGTCAGGGGCCATTCAGAGGAAAATATTTATAAACCTCTCCAAATAATACAGGTAAATGATTACTCAGACTATTACCACCACCCCCCATTCTGACCATCTCTACCCCTCCACAATTCCCCGAATCTCATCATTGCTCACAAAATTTCCTGTTTTCAGTTTCTCTGAATTTATCTTAACATTCTTGCTCCAACTTTCTCCTCTTTCAGCCCCTGCTCCTTCCTTTTCCTCCGTCTGCTCCTAAGACATTGATGTGATTTGGATGAATATGTTTGGAAAGAGCAACTGGGCATGCTCACTAGATTCAACCATGTTCCTCCATAAAGGGGCAGCCAGAGGGACTGTTTACAGCTAGTTACGGTTGCCAGGCAATATTAAGGAGGAAGATTCAGGCAGTGGCACATTTCACCATTTTCCTATTATTGTTAAACCTCACTAGAAAACTCATACTTTGTATCACTGGGTATTTGAGAAAGAAATGATGTCCATCACCTTAGCATTCTCAGGACTCAAAATCGTCAAATATAAACTAGGGATTTAGATTTGATCTCTCAAAACTCATAGAGATCTTAGAACTTAAGATTGCAGTATTTTCTCTGTGATATTTTCCTCCTGTGTAAGATTTTTATATTGTATATAAGGAGTGGGGGGAAGCATGAATATTGAGAGAATTTTTGTTTCTTTCAAAGCATAAATATGTTGTGATTCTCAACCATAGGTATTCAAAATCTATTTTCTTTGTAAACTGGGTATTTTAATTTTGTTAAATAAATTAAATTATAAAATGTAATAATACATTCAGCACTTCTGAGTAACAGATGAAAGACCTTAGCCCAGCCAGTATAATGAAATTCTAACCCAAACAAAAATATCTAAAGTTGTTTATTTATTTCTAGCTTCAATAGTAGCCTTACCTTAGAAAATCCAATTGCATTTTATTTTGAAAGAAATGGAATTGTCCATACTTTTGCAAGAGTTAAGAGTATAAGAATTCTAAGATCTGGAAGGTGGCTTAATGGTAAAGTGCTTGCCTAGCATGCATGAGGCCCTGGGTTTTTTATTCCTCAGTAACATAAAAAATAAAGCAAAGTAAATAAATAAAGTTACATTATCATTATATGTTTAAAAATTCTAAATTCTAAATCTGATGAAGATTTGCTTTTTTCATCCTTCTTTTATTTAACAAATATCTAAATGTTCTTCTGTTGTAAAGAACATAAAGAATGATCTGTGACTTTTGTCCTCACGGAGTCTCCAATCTAGTTCCAGTGATAAGACTCGCCCCTTTTGCCCACCATTGTCATCCAGTCCAATTAGCAAAGCCTCTTGGTTGTACCTACAAAGGATTCCTATCATCTGGTCACCTCTCTGCATCTCTTCTGCCTTCAACCTGCTTATAGCCAGGTTTATATTTGTCCTGGATGATGGCTTGGCTTCCTGTTTTCTCAACTTGCATCCTTTCTCATCTGTCTGCTACCCTCACCAGCCAGAGTGATCATTTCAAAAGTAAGTCATGCCACTTGTCAAATCTCCCAAGACTTTATGTCACTCAGAGTGAAAAATATCCTTAAAATGCCAGTGTGCCTCTCCAGGTCGGCACTTCTGACCTCAGTATGTGCAGACTCTCTCCTCCTGGAATTTGTATGCATTTAATCATGCAGCCCCCGCAAGACATTTGTTCTGGCAGTTTCTCTACCTAGAAGACTTTTCTCACAGATACTAGTCTTTCTCTGTATCAGTTTCTTTTCTATAGCTATGACCAAATACCCAAGAACAGCATCTTAAAGGAGGACAGACTTCTGGTAGTCTAGTTTCAAAGGCTTCAATCTATGGTCACTTGGCTCTGTGTTCCTGGGCCCACTGAGAAGCAGAGTATCATGACCGTGGAAGCATATGGACAAGGAAATTGTTCATCTCAAAGCACATAGAAATCAGAAAGCAGGGAGAAGCCTGGGAAACAGGTGTAACCTTCAAATACCTACTTCCTGAAGCTAGACCCTACCTCCTAAAGTTCCTACAACTTCCCAAAATACTATCACCAGATGAGGGCCAAGTATCCAACACCTGAGCCTACAGGAGAATTTTATATTCAAAGCACATTACACTCTCTTAACATAAGTGATGTCCTCTGAGTGACACCAACTTATGGATCTTTCATAAAATGATGTATCCTCCCTGAACTCCTTTTTCTTCCTCCCTACATTGATTTATTTTATTTCACAGTATTTATCCCTTCTAAAATAACGTGAGACTATATAGTAGTAGCCTCCCTGATCATTGATTCCTGAGTTCAGAATTGTGTTGGTGGACTCACCCAGTCAGTGTGAACCCCAGGATAAGCTGAGGGCCCCAGTCAGTCAGAAACCTTGACCAGAACCGAGTTGGCATCCAGCTCCACAGTGGATGGAAACAATCTTCTCTTCACACCTCTTTCCTGGGCATCATAATGTGAAGGAAGGAAACTTTCTCCATCCATCACAGCCCACTTCACAGAGGAATGCTCTGAGTGCTAATTAAATGGTAATGTGTAGAAGGCATCTTGATTTTCTAAGAGAAAACTTTTTTTTATGAATTTGAGGCTTTTTAGTCTGTGAAAGAATCATGACA